TGACTTTCGGCAAGACACAGTCTCAGCCACAGAGGAAGGCAATGTCATGCCTTCTTTGAACAACTCTTGCCAGGAAAACCCTGTGATAATATCACCACAAGTTGGAATCAACCTGAAGACATGTAATAACAGTTCAAGATATTATAAGATATCACTTTTCTTCCCTTCTTGTAGGGAGAGCTGGAGAAATTTGTACTCAGGCAGGGGGTTGGCAACTTTCGACCCTCTAGATGTTGTATTGGAAATGTTGCATAGCCAATAGCAGTGGAAAATTGAAGATGCAGCCTGGCAACATCTGGAGTGCCAGCTGTCCTCCATCCTTGCTCTAATTGTTTCTGCAGCTGGTGGGGTTTCCTAGGAAGGCTGTTGAGGCCACTAGAGACAGTGGTGCTTTGGAGGGACCTGTGGACCAGGTCAATATATCTGCACACAGACATGTTGGTCATAGCTGGAGTAGATATTCAAACAAGTTAGTGCCACGAGACAGTACAACAACTCTGAAACTCAGACTAGTGACACAGGTTTAAGTTGACATTTTGGTAAAAACCTACATTTCCATGTCAAGAAGAACTTACAGCCAAATATTCCTGAGGTGCAAGGAGAGACCAGGTTTCCAACAGTAATAGTTTCACTGCAGCTTTTTGTACTTGTTTTATCTAAAGTTGTTCCTTCAATTTTTGTATTGCTTTTCATTATTATTATTATTTTTAAAAAATCTCACACAAAATGCCTCTTTTGGAAGGGGAAAAAAGCAGAATGGAAATCAATTTACAAGTATTAAGGAAAAGTTGTTTCAGTAAAAATTGTTCTGGTAAAAATAAATGTGGTTAGGCTTAAAATGGTTAAATGTAGGAGCAGTGATTGGAAAACTTCCACAATCCCCTAGGTAACTGAGGGATTTTAAGATTAATCCTCCAAAATAGTAATTTCTCAATTCCCTATGTGTATTCAAATAGTGCTCATGCTGCTTAGTTTGTGTGTGTGGTTTGCTTTCAAATCATTACCTGTCATGGGGTTTTCTTGGCAAAAGTTATTCAGAGAGGGGTTGTCATTGCCTTCCTCTGAAGCTGAGAGAGTTTGACCTGCCTAAGGTCACCAAGTGGATTTCTGTGGTTGAATGTGGATATAAACCCTGGTCTCCAGAGTCCTAGACTGCATCTGCACTGCAGAACTGATGCAGTTTTACATAGCTTTAACTGCCATGGCTCAATGCTATGGAATTCTGGGATCTGAAGTTTTGTGATATATGTAGCCTCTTCCCTCAAAAAGCTTTGGTTCCAAAACAAACTATGAATCCCAGGATTCTATAGGATGGAAATGTGACAAAGTGGTGTCAAACTGTACCAATTCTGCAGTGTGGCAGCATCCTTAGTACAAAGCTGAAACCACATACCAAACTGGCTCTCACTGTTTAGAGAAAAGAGAAAGTTTAGAAAGAATGTATGCAGAGGGATCTTGTAGCACCTTTGAGACTAACTGAAAGAGAGATGTTGGTGGCATAAACCTTCGTAGACTTGGAGCCTACATCCTCAGATGCGTCTTACAGTTAGTCTCAAAGGTGCTACAAGATCCCTTTGAATACTAATTTTCCAGACTAGCATGGCTATGTCTTTGAATTTTAGAAGGAATGGTTGTCCAAGGTGCTGAATACTCTACAGTTTTACATCCCTTGCATGGCTCCCTGAATGTCATGGGCATTCTCTTGAGGGCCATCTTCTTGCTTTCACGGAGAGGGCCTTTTCAGTGGTGGCCCCCTGGATGTGGAATATCCTCCCTAGAAAGGCTCTCCTGGTGTCTACATTGTGGTCTTTTAGGCATTATGCAAAGATCTCTTTGTTTTTTCAGAAACTACACCGTTCAGTGCTTCAAACACACACACATACACACAAGATCTGCTACTGGTTCTGTTTCCATTTTTTGTTGATATTAGTTTTAGTTTGTTTTAAACTAAATGTTGATACTTTACTTTTTTTTAATGGCCTTACATTGCTTTACTGTAAATCACTGAGAATACCTTGTTTGTAAGGGAGTATAGAAACACTGTGTGTGTGTGTGTATGTGTGTTGTGTGCTTTCGAGTTGTTTCTGACTTATGGCGACCCTAAGGTGACAATGTTATAGGGAATAGAGGAGATTTGCCATTGCCTTTCCCTGAGGCTGAGAACATGTGACTTGCCCAAGGTCACCCAGTAGGTTTCATGCCCAAGCTGGGAATCAAACCCTGGTCTCCAGAGTCACAGTCTAGCACTCAAACCACTATGCTGACTCACCAAAGCAAATAAATACTTACCTGGCAAGAAGCCTTGTGGAATTCAGTGGGACCACTTTTGAACAGGCATTACAGGATTCCTTTATGAGTTAACATTATAGGATTCCTTTGTGAGCTGTGAGACAGTCAGGCTACTTCTTTTGGTCTGGTCATGTTGGTCAAATGCCTGAAGTTCAGGGCCAATCAAATGCCAGACTTTTCTCTCTTCCTCGGATTGGTTTCTGAGAGCATTGTGATGTGGCTCCAGTTCCATTATGCTTTCACTTATTTTTCCTTTAGTAGTTCAGCTTTCCCCAATGCTGAGTTCCCCAAGGATTGTTGAGATTTAACACCTGCTCCCGGCCATTGGTCATGGGGGCTGGGGTGATAGGAATTGTAGCTTAACAACATCTGGGGATCCAAAGTTGGGAAAGTTGGGCTTTAGTTGAAACTGAGAGGCTGTGGAATGTATAGCAATAGTGACACTTCCACTTACCATGTATAAATGTAGAACAACTAATGAAAAGAAACAGGATAAGATTCCAGGAAGATATGAAGGTAAGACAGCCCTTCTCACTAAGTATGTCTATGCCTATATCAGCATCTATATATCTTCATTAGCCATGGGCAGTATTTGCTGCAGCTGGCACTCAGATAAGCCACCTGTGATGCTCCAGGTGAGGTTGGATGATATCTCCCATCATCCTCAACTATAATGCTGAGGGATGATGGGAGTTTCATTCCGACAGCAATTTCTGGAGGGATACAATGTGGCCTCCTCAAAGCTAGATGATGACATACTTCCCAGAGCTCCAAAGGCAGCTATCAGATGTGTGTGTGTTTAGGAAGACAGGGTGATTAAAGAACATAATAGGTCACAGAGCCAAGCAGAGTAGAGGGAAAAGAAGATACCAAACAACCTTGGGCTTACAATTTAGCAAATTAGATCTTCAAAGAAAGGTGAGTGGATGGGAAGGATGGAGAGAATGGAGATTTGTTTGAAGATATTATAATGATGAATTTGTGGATTTTTAATACACTTTTAAATCCAGTGTGATGTCCATCGATCATGCTCTTGTTAAGTAGAAGAAGATGCTATCGGCCCTTAAAATCCTTTGATCAATGATCACAACCAGATTCAATTGTAAAAAGCCTTTCTGTGTACTGCTGATGATTTATGAGATTGTTCTGTTCCATAATCTTTCAGAAAAGGAATACTAGCTAGGGTGATCAAGTGGACAGTCCTCTGTTTGCAAGGTGTGAGAAGATAGTCCTTCATTTGAAGGGACCACCTACTTGACACCCTGTCTAGTCCAGGTCTGTTTTAAAGATGAAGATAAAGCAATGCAGGGCCATTGGACTTTTCCACCTGTGTATAGTGAGCCCTTGGAAAAGCAGGCAGAGCAGGCAGGCAGTTTATCCTTCCCTACTGTGGTAAGATGCATTGTATTACCATTAAAATAATAGCTGTTATTTCTCAATATTCAGACATACATGTATGCTAGTATAGGCCAAATCAGTATTTTACTTTTGTCCTCTCCTCTTTTTTATGGCTATGTGGCCACCTTAGTGGTGGTAGTGAACAAACACAATCAAAGAACAGTAGATGTGCATTTTTAAAAGATGTTGTCCATTTAGATCAGTGGTTCCCAAACTTTGGTCCTCCAGAAGTTATGGACTTCAGCTCCCAGAAATCCTGGCTGCTGGCCAAGCTGGCTGTGGTTTCTGGGAGCAGAAGTCCAAAACAACTGAAGCACCATTTGGGAATGCTGATTTAGATGGATCAGACTTTGTTCTGAATGAACATTGGCAGTGTATCCTACTCATATCTACTCAAAAGTTAGTCTTATTGAATTTTATAGGGCTTGTTCCCAGGTAAGAGGGGCCAAGATTGTAGTTGCTCAGCACAAGTCTATGGAGTTCTGCTCAGAAGCAATTCTTGCTGTATTCAGTGGGCCTCACTTACATCCCAGACCTCAAAGCCCACATCCTGCCAACATGCAGAGATTGGTGTACATAGGATCGTAGCCTCAAATCCTAGCCTAGTCTGGGTCAGTCTTGTTATCCCAGACACTTACCACCTAAGAGCCAGCTGCAGTTCGGCACCAAACAGGGCAATGCCTACTTGCAAACTAGCACCATGATATTTCTGGATGTATTACATGTGTAAGTTTGTTTCTGTGTTGCTATAATAATCCATTATTAATGTTGCTTGGTGGTTTTCTACGACACCCAGTATGCTCAGAAACCTTGGCACGTGGCTGAGATTGAAGAGGCCCAGTGGGGCAATTGGGAAGGGATTGGCACAGCCGTTAGAAATGGTCTCAGGTGTCAAATGTGTCTTGTACCCCTTGGCAAAATGGTGGCTGGGGGAATCACTTCTGGTACCAGGACTGGAGGAAGGTGATTGTAAAGCTGCTGTAATTCATCTCAATGGCCCCCTACTGCATGCAGATAAATTTGGAGGAATATTGTATATCACCTGAGCCCTGTCAAAGTCTGACAGGCTCCTTCCTCTCACCCCCTTCACAGCTGCTTTTGCCAAGGTGCTCCTGCCATGGTCAAAGTAGTCTCCAGCTAGCCCACAGGCTATATTGCTTGCCTCCTAATTGATCCAGAGGGTCCAAGGTACTACTGGTGTGTGTGTGGTGGGAGTCGGGGGTGCTGGACAAAGTTAGAAAGAGGCTTTGGACTCTCAGACCTTCAAAAAGCCACACATTTCATCACCAATACTGGGATCATTATTCAATAGTTATTTCAGCTCCGGCAGTGTTTTTTAGGCAATGTCTGATTTGGAACTGAAATCTGCATGTAAGCAGCCATGGCTAGTGAATTCTGTACCAATGGAGATGGTGAATCTGCTCCAGCTTTTAGCCTGAACTTTAAATGAGCTGCCCTTTTGGGAGATGGATAATTCCTTTAGAGTTCTGACATGGAGCAGATCCACTGCTCTCACCGATAGGGAAGCTGTCACTGCCTGCAAGAGGAAGACAGCCCTCCCACGCCTTGAAAGCAATAATGAGTAGTGCTGTCATTGCATGGGGTGTATACCCCAATAACATTATCATTCCTAGTCTTTGGAAGGTTTGTTTTTTGGGGACAGTGTTTCACACCCCTGCAAAACCCATTTTACTAGAGAAGATAGCAAAAGGAACATGGGTGGTTAAGGCATGACTCCCCTACCATTGGTGGCAGAGGAGTCAGTGACAGTGGAACCACCATTGCTTAACTTGTGCCAGCTCACCCCTGCCCTGGCAGAAGGGGTTTCTGAGAGGATTTCCTCCATATTTTTCTTTCATTTTCTCTCTCCACTGATTCCAATGGGAAGGAGAATCAATATGCTACCTTGAAGGCTGGTCTGCATTGTTTTATTCCCTTACTGGGGTATGTTGGGGGGAATGAGGGACATGTGGATGCTATGGATCCAAGCCTGCCCCCAGTTAGTCTCCATTGTGCCCTGTCACCCTCACACTGGTGCCACTAAAGGCTCACCTTAGCCCCCAGGATAAACAGGTCAAGATTCTGTTGAACGCTAGTGAAACAGATGCTGCACTTACTCAGGGAGTGGTGGTAGTGTGTCTTGTAGCTGGGTGGATGAGGAGTGGTTCTCTGCCAGTGTGCCACTACAATGTGAGCAGTTAGAGAGGTGGCTTGCCTATGGGGTTTTTGGATACTGCCTTCTGCATGTTTCTCCCTAGTTACAATCACAGACATAAGCAGAAATTACTCTGGTATAAACCTCAACCGGCTTCTAGTTTCAGTACCCTTGGTCAGGAACTGCTCCCCTGCTCCTGTCACACCAACAGCAAGCTTCAGTTCATTGCATTTCTTTCTGAGTTGTGCTTATAATGCTTGATCACGTAGAGAGCCCTGTTCTGTTGATTTTAATGTACACCAATAGGCTCCAAATCAGGGGTAGGCAACCTTTTTGAGCCGGGGGCCGGGTTGCTGTCCCTCAGACAATTGTGGGGGCCGAAGCACCAAAAATAACTAACTAAATAAATAAATAAAAATATTTTTTAAAAAAATAAAAAATTAAAAAATATGCATGCACACTCTCTCAGCCCCAGAAAAGCCATGGCAAGCCCCCTGTAGAGATTTTGCCAAGAAAACCGCAAGAACAAGTAATAACAATAATCAATATCATCATGGTGAGCAGGGGGCGGCGGCGGCAGCAGCGGCGGCAGGACCGGCCTGGGGCCGGTCCAAAGGCTTCGGGGGGCCGCATCAGGCCCCCGGGCCTTAGGTTGCCTACCCCTGCTCCAAATGAAATTGAAAAAGAAAGCTAGTTGACGAGAATTCATTTTTTGTAATTAGCTCTGACATCTGATAGATTCTGTAGTGTAGGACTATGAAATCATAGTAGTAAAGAACATATTGTTGGTGCCCTCATTCATTGGAGGTGGTATGATTAATAGACACTGAGCCATCAAGCTCATCTCAACACCCTTTCATCTTTTGGTCCGGGTTGAGTGCCCAGTTTGATACCCGCAAGGCCAGACCTACTAGGGCCTCCTAAGAGCTGCTCTTGAGGGGTTGCAAATGTTGCCCTACTATTCAAGCTTCTCTTCATTGTTCAATTTCATTTTTGTCACTCTTTGGCAGTCATTTTTGGACTTCCAGATGTTGTGGAAGGAGGCCGAGCCAGCACAGCCAGTGGTCATGGACTCTGGGTGTCAAAACACAAAATATCTGGCAGTCAAAGGTTGTGAACCAGTGCTCTACACCTTGCCCAGCTGACAGGCTGTCTAACATTCTTAATAACAATAACAACAGCAACACCTGACTCTTTCCTTAGCGGCAGACTTCAGCTAGGCCAAGTGAATGTTCAAAATTAGTATAGTATTAGTAATTAGTATTTTAGTAATTGGCAACTGTATTGATGATCCATCAGATGTCTCATATGTTTGTGGGATAGTTGTGATAATTAAGTGAGGGGAAGACATTCTGCATATGTTCAGAGGCACAACACATAACATTTATTGTTTTATTTATCAACATTCCAGTAGAGCTAAATTCTGACACAAAGATGTCCCTAGAATTAGGCTCTATAGAGCCTTAGAATGACTGAAACTCTGCTTGAAGGCTCTTTGTATTCCATGTGTGGCTTTCTAGTATTGAGTATGGTGATGTCCTTCTCTGTGAAATGGACACTTAAATTGTATCCGTAAATTGTTGAGTTCCAAGCCTGAATAACCTGAGTCTTAGAAGGAAGACCGTGGTGCTCCTGGAAGAACAGCCCTGGGTGTCATATTCGTAGATATAAAACCAAACAAACATACCTGCCAATTATTTTCACAAAGCATATTATAAGAGAAAGAACATTTGGTAAAAAATTATGGGCATTTGAGAATGGTAAGAACAATGGACACAGCCTAGAATGGCCTGTAGGTATTATAAAAATTGGATGAAAAAAGGGGACTGCCATAGGAGGCAGTGTGGTGTAATGGTTTGAGCATTCAACTAGGACTCTGGAAGACCAGGGTTCGAATCCCAGCTTGGCCATGGAAACCCATTGGGTGACTATGGGCCAGTCACACACTCTCATCCCTCAGAGGACGGCAATGGCAAACCCTCTCTGAAGAAACATGCCAAGAAAACTGTATGATAGGTTCCCTTTAGGGCAGGGGTAGGCAACCTTTCCCCTTTAAGGGCTGAGGGACTTCAGCTCCCAGAAGCCTCAGCCATGTTGGCCAATAGCTCCTGGGATTCTGGGAGCTGAAGTCCCTCGGCCCTTAAAGGGGAAAGGTTGCCTACCCCTGCTTTAGGGTCTCCATAAGCTGGAAATGACTTGAAGGCACACAACAACAGAACTGGAATCTAACTGTAAACTTGGTGTAATACAAGTCATGGGCCATAGTCAGGCCGGGGGTGGGGAGAGTTTGCTGAAACAGGGACTTCTGTTTTTTGGGGTTCTCTGTTTGCTCAGTAGTTGGGTTCCAGCTGCAGTGCCCATATGGGTTGTACGGCTGGCTCCCAAGATTTCATGAACAGATTTCTTCTGAGCCAGTGTCCATGTTGTTGCTGGATGTTCATGACAGTTGTACTACAAAACAGCATGGCTTGGAGAGAGAGAGATTTGTGCACTGTGCAGTGATGCCACAAGGGAAAGATCTACCGTATGTAGCTATGTCATAGGAGAGATTTATGTAGTGACGTCATAGCCAGTATCTGATAGGTCTCTATAACATCAGCACAGTTACCTTTCTGGTAACTCTAATGCTTGCTTTAGGTGGGTACAGGAATCTCTGGGTATATTTAGGAGCAGTAACACTTTGGTGAGAAGAATTGTCTGCTCTGATCCCTAACCTACTTCAGAGAACTACACTTCTCAGGCACTCCTGGGGAGATGGCCATCAGGCTATTAAATCAGTTTACATCCATAGCAAAGATACATTTGCAATCATCAGTAACTATGTTTAGAGGTAAAGTTGTTATTGCACATCAGTTCCCCACAACTGGGAACATCTATTGGGAGGATGCCTTGGCAGTATCAGGCACTACGTCAGGAGCTTCCTGGGAGAAAACATGACTCCACAGTGTGATGCAGCAGCCAAAAAAGCCAATACAATTCTGAGCTGTATCAACAGGAGAATAGTGTTGAAAAGTAAGTGTCACTCTATTCTGCTTTGGTCAGACTCACCTGGAATATGTGTGCAGTTCTTGGCAGCACAGTTCAAGAAGTATATCAACTTGCTGGAATGTGTTCTGATAATGGCAACCAAGATGATCAAAATTCTGGAAACCAAGTCTTATAAAGAATAACTTAGGAAGCTGTGTATATTTAGCTTGGAGAAGAGAAGAGTGATAGGTGATATGAGAACTTTCTTTAAATATCTGAAAGGCTATCATACAAAAGATGGAACATGCTTGTTTTCTTCTGCTCAGGAGACTAGAACATGAACCAATAGATTCAAATTAAAAAAGATTCCACCTAAATATTAGGGGGAAATTTTTTATTGTGAAAGCTGTTCAACAGTAGATTAGATTGCCTTGGAGAATGGTGAACTCTTCATCTTTGGGGGTCTTTAAACTTCCAAAGCATCTTTCAAGCGACCCTTTAGTTGTGTATCATTGCATGGAAGACTAGGGAGATTATCGCACTACCTTTAAAACGCATTAAAAAGAGACTTACCTTGACCGAATTGAAGTAAAATTCGGGCTGCATCTGGATGCTATCACATAGATTTTCCGTGAAAAATCACAATTGGAATGCCACCCAAATTTAGCTTGGCTGACTTAACTCGCTTCGGCAGCCATTTTTCTAAGTTTGAAAATTCCAACTTAGAAAAATGACTGCTGAAGCGAGTTAAGTCAGCCGGGCTGAATTTGGGCTGAGTTTCGATGGTGGTTTTTTGGGGGAAATCTGTGCAATAGCATCCGGATGCAGCCTGAATTTTACTTCAGTTTGGGCAAGGTAAGTCTCTTTTTAATGCATTTTAAAAGTAGTGTGATAATTTCCCTTGTGGTCCCTTCCAACTCAAAGGTTCTATGACACACCTTTTTGGAAGTGCAAATTGAAGTATACATGCTATAGTGAAGTCCAGGAGTATGATATACCCAAACATGCCCTAATTCCATATAAATAATAATAATAATAATAATAATAATAATAATAATAAT